CATCGAGATGTACCGTGACACATTAGGCAATAACTCTGCAACGATCTGTGAGAATGATGACTTTAAGGGAAAATAGGAACACATTAAACTTAATGCACTCTCATATTTACATGACACATCATTTAGCTGACGCCTTTATCCAAAGCGACTTCCAATAAGTGCAAACACCATAAAGATTCAAACTCCAAACAACAAAAACAGTGCAGATATATTACATTCAAGGAGGTCACACCATAGTAAGCGCTGGCGAATACAAGGCCTAAATTAACTCAACAAGTGCTTTTTTTTCAGCATTAACTTAATTGCAAAGGTAAAATCTAAATAGATGCGTTTTCAGTTTTAGCCTCAGGAAGATATGCAAAGTCTCCGCTGTCATGATGTCAATGGGGAGCTGATTCAACCAATCAGGAGCCAGGATAGCAAACAGGTGTGTTTCTGAGGGGTACCTGGGTTATCCAAAGACTGGATGTAGTTAAAACACAAATTATTCAAAATTGTTGATATTTGCTTTGGTGGAAGAATACTGTTAGTGCAACTTTGGTTGGAAAGAGATGAACATAAACAATAAACCGGTTAGGAAACATAAAAAAAAGTCAAACCATGAAGCATACTGTCGAGAAAAGTTGTGTTTTAAAATGCATAAAGCCAATCAAACAATCTGGTAAATATTATACTACCATATTCTATTATTTACTCAAAGGCATCTTTTTCAAACTGAGTGATGGAGATATACTGTGGAGACTTGAGGTTTAATATTATTAAAGTTTCAAGCCACAAAAACACTTTAATAATCCTTTTGAAATCACAAATTAACTTTGGGACAATTAGCCAGCGTGTGATTTTATGAAAGCACAAAGGCAGAACGAACAATATCAGTCCCACGTGTGATTCAGCTCTGGAAGTCGTTTTGGACACATTTAAAAAGCGCATTATTGAGCATCTCCAAACACAGTATCCTCAGGAGACCAGGACAATAACCATGATCTGAACATTCATTTAGGCAGAGGAATCCCACGGTTCCCAGTAAAACACCAACGGACTAAATATAGATAAGAAACACAAGAGCAGTTCATTAAAATCTCTATAAAGCAAACAGAGAAGACGCTCCATGGACAGACAGACCTCTGGAGGACATTACGTCTCTCACAGCAGGAGACAGAGAAGAGACACTCATAACTTTAATGATGTTTAGTTCAATTTAATGTCCCATTAAGACAGGGAAACATCAAGTACCACAGATATATGACATGGAAAAGCACATACAAATAATAACATAAACTATGATTTTATGACCTTTTTCAGTGACAACCTAAACCTTTTTTAGAGATGATTATGTTTATTTGTCACTATATTATGGTAGATACATATTCAGTATATGGTATAGTCCAGTTAGAGTTAATCATACATAGCTTACGGCAGTCTGCATGAATTCAAAGTCAACTTTATTGTCAATCTTCTATGTGTGAGATACAGACAAGGAGATCGAAATGCGCTTTCTCACAATCCAGAGGAATAACAGTTAAAATATCAAAAAATAAGTCCATAATCAAACATAGACACAAAGTCCCACATTAAGAGGCATCAATGTAAAGAGATACAGTCAATATATACAGAAATAACAGTCCCTTATGAACAGATGCAGATGAATATATAACAGGAAAAATGTAACAATTCCACCTCAGACTAGCTAACGTTCGCTACCTATAGCCAGCTAGCTAACGTTCGCTACCTATAGCCAGCTAGCTAACGTTCGCTACCTATAGAGAGCCGCAGTGACGTGTCCTTAAACCCGGAAGTAAACTCCTTCCGGTTCCTTCGTCTAAAACGCAATGCAATTTCTCCATAGGATTTTGGAAAATAGCTCGAAATAAGATCTGTGGTTGACACATATTTAAGAGATGGATCACGTTTTGTTCAGCCGGATAATATCCATATGTCAACCCTACTTTTATAATTTTTGAATAATAAATCTAGTCGGCAGAAGCAAAATGCTAACGTTATGCTATAAACGAACTACAAGCCAGTACAGCAGCAGGGTTGCACGACTTCAACGTCACGCCAACTTAAGATCGTTTCAACTGACTTTCGCGCACTTGCATATTTTAACAAAGCTTTTCATTTGAGCCACACTGAATTTCACTAGAAGTCATGGCTGTGTCAATTACCAGTCTGATATCATTTTACAAAGATGACAAGAAGAGTGTAGATAGAGGAGAGAACCACTACAAGTCAGGACACGTACAACAGTGCAGCCTAGATGAAGGTGTGCTTACCGGTGTTGTCAGAGCTAGCATGAGGGACAAGGTTTATAGAGTGTCGGTGAGTAGTGATAGCGAGAGTACCATTAAGCTAGAGTTAATTTATTCACATTAATTCCCATCAACAAGGGGCCCCCCGCCCCGCCAACGCCCCCCCCCGCCCAACCCCGGTCAAAATGTCCGGAGATGGCATTACTCGTTCGGCGGTCACTGCGGCGAGGAATTTGGGCCTTCATTGAAGAGGCAAGGAAGCAGTATTTGCGTTACCGTTAAAGAGGTTCTAAACACTTTATCCGAGCTTTTATTCTAGACACAACTGTCGTATAATTCTCTACCTAGTTGCAAAACGAAGTGTGCCGTATTATAGGTGTACAGTTGGGATGAAAATAGTAAAACTTATTAAATTTAGATCAGGCCGGCTTCGTTTTACGATTGCAAGTACGATTTTGCTTGAGTTCGTCATGTCGTCGTCCCAGCGTGCTGAAGGTGCAGTGCGGTTGAATCTCGTAGCAAAGTTGACTGAAGCGCGTGAACGTATAAAATTGTTTCGAAAAGTAAACTCGGTGTGAACTTAAAGTGATCTTCCAGTACCGCACAGTTAATGGTCAGACTATAGTAAAATGTTTCTACCTGTTCTTCTCACATCTATAGTCCTCTCTTGGGTGATGTTCAAGTCCCGTGATGTTGTCACGTCGGATCTACTCCCACTATGGCACAACAGTCTCGATCGTACTCCCTTTCCAATATCTCACAGCCACTCATTCCTATCGCTCTGCATGGTAATTCGATCTCATTTAAATAAGTGTAATTAAGGGTAGTTGTTT